GGTGCCCTGGGGGCCAGAAGGGCTCACAAACTATCCCTGTCCCAGGGAGGTGAGTGAGGCAGAACCCAAACAATGGGTTCCCTTTTGAAAGCTGGTATCTGCACTCCAAATAAAAGTGCCCAACTCATAAATTCTGTTCTGGAGGTTAACTGTAACTAAAGAAAAGATAAACCCTAGCTTATGAGTTATGAGTCACCACAACAAGTTCCATTATAACAACCAGCTAGAAACTGGGGTCATTACAACCAGTTAGGAACTGGGGTCATTACAACCAGCTAGGAACTGGGGTCATTACAACCAGCTAGGAACTGGGGTCATTACAACCAGCTAGGAACTGGGGTCATTGCAACCAGCTAGGAACTGGGATCATTGCAACCAGCTAGGAACTGGGGTCATTACAACCAACTAGAAACTGGGGTCATTACAACCAGCTAGGAACTGGGGTCATTACAACCAGCTAGGAACTGGGGTCATTACAACCAACTAGAAACTGGGGTCATTACAACCAGCTAGGAACTGGGGTCATTACAACCAGCTAGGAACTGGGATCATTGCAACCAGCTAGGAACTGGGATCATTACAACCGGCTAAGAACTGGAGTAAGGTTTTTTTTTCTTGGTTTGCTGTCTCTGGCAATCTTTTTTTTTTTTAATTTTTTATTGAGAAAAAGAAAAAAAAAGTTTCCGCCTCCTCCCAGCCTCCCATTTCCCTCTCCCTCCTCCCACCTTTCTCCCCCTCCCCCCACTCCTCTCCCCCTCCCTCTCCAGTCCAAAGAGCAGTCGGGGTTCCCTGCCCTGTGGAAAGTCCAAGGTCCTCCCCCCTCCGTCCATGTCTAGGAAGGTGAACATACAAACTGGCTAGGGTCCCACAAAGCCAGAACATGAAGTAGGATCAAAACCCCGTGCCATTGCCCTTGGCTTCTCAGCAACCCTCATTGTTCGCCATGTTCAGAGAGTCCGGTTTTATCCCATGCTTTATCAGTCACAGTCCAGCTGGCCTTGGTGAGCTCCCAATAGATCAGCCCCACTGTCTCTGTGGGTGTGGAGTAAGGTTTTTAAAAGTAACTCAGCAGACAGAATGTCAGATCCTCAGTGAGTTTCTGAGTGTCAGCCAGGCCCAGATTCCTAGACTCTGGGGGGGGGGGGTGTAGAGAACTCACATTTATTCTATCCATCTATTTAGTAGATGAAGAAGCTGAGGTTCCAAGAGGGTTTACTGTTGTCCCAAAGTATATCCAGAACTCAATTACAAGCTACTCAAATCCAGTACCAAGGTAAGGTCATCCAGGCCCCAGGGGCAGCTGTCGTCAAGTGGCAGAGCTCACTAGCACCAACTCCCTGGATTCCAATTGAACATTAATAGCAAGGGGCTTGGAAGAGGGGGTGGATGTACCTCTGGAGACAATAAAGCAAAGCCAAGCACTTGTAAGCACTTGTTCACCTTAGGGACAGCAACTCTGACTCCATCTGGAGCTTGCTGTGTTGATGAGACTGGAGGGCCAGCAGAGCCCTGGGGTCCACAGGAATTACAGGAATGCTCCAGATTTGGTGGGCTTTTGTTTGCTTGGTATTGTTTTGTTTTTTTACTTTTTACATGTGTTCTAGGTCAGAACTCAGGTCCTCAGGTTCATGCGATCAATACTTTGCTAACTACACCATCTCCCCAGCTCTGAGAGATTTTGAACTGAAAACTGAGGGATTTTTGGTTAACCATAACCTCTTTTGTTCATAACCAACAAGTATCTAATTCTCAAAGTTCAAATTCCAGCCCTGAGCACTGCTTTGATAACCCTCACCATCGCAATCTTTTCTAAGCAAAGCCTGGGCCAGCAGGATGGCTCAGCAAGTAAAGGTGCTTGCTCCCAAGCCTGACAACCACATGGTGGAAAGAGATAACATACTCCCACAGGCTGTCCTCTGACCTTCAGACATACACCGTGGCATGTGTACACCATACACATACACAAAACAAATATAAAAAATTCAAGTGTCAAATCTTTTTAAAAGATTATAGATCATGTTCTATATCATAAAAGGTAATATTCTAAAAAAATGAACCACTAAACTGTAATCTTGAATCACACAATCTACACGAGCCCTTTCCTGGAATTATACATTAGAAGGAATACTTAATTTTTGTCTTTGGAGATAAAGTCTCGCTATGCACCCTAAGCTGCCCTAAAACTCACAATCCTCCTGCCTCAGACTCTCCACATGCTTGTTATCATATCAAAAAAACCCCAAAAAACAAAAAGCAAACAAAGACCACTAAGGTTTCCCAAGGATAAGATGCCCGCAGCCCAGTTGACCAGGAGGAGAAACAACGGACGCCTACTTAAGCTCCCACACAAACAATTTGCCGTTCATCACGTAGTTGGTGGCTGTGCTTTAAAAATGGCAGCGAGTGTCCATGTGCTGTTAGTGCTTCCCCAGCTCAAGGCAGCCATGAAGTACCGTGTGGAGAAAACACACATGGCTATACTGCAGTACTAATGAGTCTCCCTACACACACACAAACTACAGCAAACGGAAACACATAAAACAAGGCTGTGCACCGATCGGCATGAAAACAGGACCATCATTTCATGAAAACAAGGACCGAACCTTGTGGGAGTTCCCTCTGAGGTAATGATTCAGTACTGATTAATACTATCACAACTGTTTTTACATGCAATGAGAGAAAAGGCATGAAACAGCAAGCATTTTATCAAATGAGAATTTTCCCCAAGCTCAGCAGCGATAGCTGGTTTCCCAAGTAAGATAACCACGAAAACTGCTGACTGGTGCTAGTTTGTCTTCCCAGGCTAAAAGAAGGCTCAAGGAAATGCTCATTACTTCACCACAGGGGGGGAAAAAAGACAAAGTGGTCTTTGCACATGAAATAAAAATAACTAATTAATTTAAAATTGTTAGGTGCAATAACAGAAATATTGAGTGGCTCTTTTTTAAAACAGAGAGTCTTATGTAGCCCAGACTAGCCTCAAATTTGCTCTTTAGCTAAGGATGACCTTGGAATTCTACAGTGCCTACCTCCTTAGTAATGGGATCACAGACCTTCAACACCATACTTAGTGTGGTGGTTTGAAAGAAAACGGCCCCCGAATGGGAGTAGCACTACTAGGAGGTGTGGCCTTGTTGGAGTAGGTGTGTATGGTCTTGTTGGAGGAAGTAGGTCACTGTGGGGGTGGGCTTTGAGGTATCTTTGCTCAAGCTTCACTCAGTGTGACAGCCCACTTCCTTTGCTTACAAGATGCCGGATTCTCAGCTATTCCTCCAGCATGCATCTGCCTGCATGCTGTCATGCTCCAAGCTCTGATGATAATGAACCGAACCTATGAAACTGCAAGCGAGCCCCCTCAATTAACTGTTTTCCTTTGTAAGAGTTGCCACAGTCATGGTGTCTCTTCACAGCAATAAAAAAAACCCTGAGACACCTAATGTCTGGCTGTTTTAACACCAGGCTGGATAAGCTTCTACCAATGAGCCCATCCAGTCAAGAGTAAGAGGTTTTAATCATGACAGTTTGGGTTCCAATCCAAGGCATTTAAATTACGCAACCTTTTGGAACCTTATTAAATTCGGATAGCGCATACATCTTCATAATTTTGAAGACAAGTTTAAATCTCATATGTAAACAGCAGGAAACAAGACCTACCTGACTAACAATGTTTTAACAGAACACCTTTAAACTCCCAGCTCCATGCTGAAAAGCTGGAGACGGATGTGACTGGGTCATTCTCTTCAGAGGGTTCCAAAGCTTAGTCCCTCAGACTTTCTAAGCATTTCTTACTGGGTGCTGGCGGCCCTCCTGAGGACTCACACAGCCTATAACCCCTATGCCTGCCTCCCCCAGCCCACACACACACACACACAAAGCAGCTAGTTCTATAACATGAGAACGGATACACTTTTCAGCACTCACGCAGTCTTGAAATTTCCCACTGCTCTCTTCTGTAATTAAAATCTCGGGGAAATGGCGGCCAAGTGGACTTTTTCTGGACCTCCATTATGCGTCTAAAGCACCATAACTCTTCTGGGGGGTGGGGGTGGAGGAAGTAGACAGCTGCCAGGTTTGGTGACACTTGTCTATAATCTCAGCCCTGGAGGATGAGGCAGGATTGCCGGGAGTCTTAGGTCAACCTGGGTTATAAATTGAGGGAGTGACTCTGCCTTACAAAAATAAATAAAAATAAAAACAAGGTAGCTGTTACATTTGGAAATCTAAAATTGTGTACAAATATTATGATCTACACTCAGAAAATCGGGTAATTGTAAAACGTGAACAACCAAAAGAGAACTTAAAACAGGCTGCACAATTTACTAGACGATAGAAATTTCCCCTATCCTATCTCAGCTATTCTACATAAACATCTGCAGTTAATACGGGTGATTAAATTGAGTACGTGGAAGAAAGCAAAGCGTGGTTTTCTAGGGACAATGAATGGAATTTAAGTCTAGTGTTCTGGAGGTCAAGAGAAGTAAGCGTGTACACAGCTCAGTCACTTACCAGCACAGGAGACATGGTGCGGAAAGCAATGATCCCAAGGCACCAGAGCCACCGGAAAAACTTTCCCTTCTATCTTTTGCACTGGGAAGACCTAAACCTCAAGGACCACTAACCAAGGCCACTATCTCTCCAGGCTGCAACCCAGCACGTGGTGGACGCTCAGGCACCAGGCGACGGGGTACACATCTACCTGCCAGGCCACGGACGCTGCCGTCATCGCAACTCCTCCCAGCTAACCTGCCTTCCCCCAAGTCTTTGCTGAGACCACCTCCACTTCTTCCTATCCTTCTCTTCCTAGCCAAAAGCAAGGACAGGGAAGGCAGAAGATGGTGGCGCGAGGAAAAGCACCCCCGCAGCGTCGCTCTTCCCCATTCCAGAGACGCAAATCCACATCACGTCTCCTCGAGCCCGCAGGCAAAATCCGCAACACTTAAAATTTCTTTTTCAGACGCTTTTAGGCACAAATAACTCCGCCGCTCCCTTCCGCCCCTCACCTTCACGAAAGCAATCGGGGTTGTGGTACCTTCGATATCTAACAGGATAACTGTGACTTCGGCGGGCACCGAAACCACAACCATTTCCCTGCCGGATGCTACCACGGGCTCGGCCTCGCTGGTAAACGGGAGAGCGCCGCCTGCGCACCGGGACGCCCAGCAACGGTCGGAGCGCTGGCAGCGACGAGAGACTAGAAGCGAGAACGCACACAGGCCGGCTCCGGGGACTCGCGATGGCAGAGCAAGCCGCCCTAGGTGCTGCACCCCAAAGAGCAGAGGAGCAGCGCAGGCCCGGACCACGTGAGCAGGCTGAGGGGCGGTGCTCCGGGGCCCCCAAGGGGCGTGGAAAACAGGGCGCGTGCGCCGATTGGCCACCGGCGAGCCGCGAACGCGATCCGTCAAAATGGGCCTCGCGTGGGCGGGAACAAAGAAGCGAACCCCCGAGCCCGGAGCCCGGAGCGCGGGCGCGAGCCATCCGCAGCCTGGTGGAGCCAGCGCGAGTGGCACGGCCGGGGCACGTGCAGACGGAAGCCCCTGGAGTGGCGCGCTGGGGACGTGAGTGTCCCCTTGCCTTGGCCCGCACCTGACCCCTTCCCCGCCCACCGCGTGCGCTTGGGCACCGCTTCAGTCATCCGAGCAGGCCCCGCCCTCCGCCGCGGCCACAGCCAGCCGGGGAGGCCGCTCGGACCCGGGCTGCGGCGACCCTGCAGCCGAGACCCCCCCCCCCCAGAGGCGACACCGCCCCACGGCGACGGCGGAACAGCCGCCACCACCCAGGGGGTCATCGCGGGTCCGGCGCGAGGACAGAACACGCGTGCGCCGGGCGGGAGGGCGGGCGAGCGCGCTGCAGCTTCGGGTGCACGCCGCCTTTTTCCCGGAGCAGCCAGGCGGTCCCAGCCGCCGCCGTCGCCGCGGCTCCGCACTGGGGGACTGAGGGCGCAGGACGGGAGTGGGCCGGACCGGACGCGCGACACAAAAGGCTCTGCAGGCAAGAGGGACTGTGGCCCTGCGACGGCGCGGCCCGGGATTTGCTGCGCATCGGGCTCGCTCGTCTGATCTCTCCTGTCCGCTCAGCCCGACCCCCAGCGCCACCTCGCTCCTCACCCGGAGCACCGCGATGGAGGTCCCGCCCCGGCTCTCCCATGTGCCGCCGCCATTGTTCCCCTCCGCTCCCGCGACTCTCGCCTCCCGCAACCTCTCCCATTGGCGGCCGCGGGCGCCGCGGCAGCTCGCCCCGCTCCTCCCTTCGCTCGCTTCTAGCGCCTCCCGGCAGGGGGCGCGCCGGAGCCCGCGCCACGTCACCGCCCAGCAGCCCTCCCGATTGGCGGGCGGGGCGGCTATAAAGGGAGGGCGCAGGCGGCGGCCGGATCTCTTCCGCCGCCATTTTAAATCCGGCTCCATACAACGCTCTGCTGCCGCCGCCGCCGCCGGGACCCGCACTGCGCGCCAGCAACCCCTCGCCGACGGCTCCGCCACCATGGAGGACATGAACGAGTACAGCAACATAGAGGAGTTCGCAGAGGGATCCAAGATCAACGCGAGCAAGAATCAGCAGGATGACGGGTACCGCACGCTCCGCTCTTCCCCTCCCCCAGGGCCCCGCGCGCGCCCTTCGTCCCTCTGGAGCTGCGCGCGCTGCCCCCACTATTTCCCCGAGTCGATTCTCCGCGTGCCCGCTGGACCCCAGTAGCTTCCCCACTAGTGGAAAGTAAGACGGGGTGACTCGAGAGGCCCGCCGCGGGTGGGGGAAGGGAGGAGGGGTTGGGGGGAGGAGGGCGGCGCCGCCGGTGTCCCGAGTGCGCAGGCGCCGCGTGGAGCCGCGGGGGAGGGGCCGAGCTCGGTGCGCCGCACGCCGCAGCTGCCGCCGCCTCTTCATTGTGTGTTGCTGCCGGGGCGGCTTTTCCTGGGGAGGATTTGGCAACTTGGTCTGGGCGCCGGTAGCTGACTGATGCGTGGAGTTCTTTAGGTAGCAAGTTGAGTCTAGAGCTGTGGGTAAAAGTTCACTTTAGGTTGTGGGGGATTCGGTTGTAGAAGTTGTACTTTGTAACCCAAAGTCATCAGAGCAGAACCCCTACGGGATTTCGTTGGCGCTTTGTGTTTGCACGGTAGAAAGCAACCTGTCTGCTGGTCCGAGCAAGTGATCTTAAGGTTTTTGTGGCCTATTAGCGTTTGTAATCAAAACAGACTGCTTGCACTTAGTGAATAAATTACCCTGTACTTTTTTTTTACTGTTTAATTACAGGGTTGAAGTAATCTCGAAGTTACTGTTAAGTCTTTTTTTTTTAATAACTTTATTTCTAGTAAAATGTTTATTGGAGGCTTGAGCTGGGACACAAGCAAGAAAGATCTGACTGAGTATTTGTCTCGATTTGGGGAAGTTGTAGACTGCACAATTAAAACAGATCCAGTCACTGGAAGATCGAGAGGATTTGGATTTGTGCTTTTCAAAGATGCTGCTAGTGTGGATAAGGTAGGGATGTGGTCTGCACTGTGTCTTTAGTGTCTCCTTTAAATTGCTCCGGGCTTCTAAGCGCCTGTCAAATTAACTTGTCTTCCAGGTTTTGGAACTGAAAGAACACAAACTGGATGGCAAATTGATAGACCCCAAAAGGGCCAAAGCTTTAAAGGGAAAAGAACCCCCTAAAAAGGTTTTTGTGGGTGGATTGAGTCCAGATACTTCAGAAGAACAAATCAAAGAATATTTTGGAGCCTTTGGAGAGGTGGGCTGTTTGTTTGCATGCATCTGGTGTGTTTTTGAAATACTTGTGCTTGGTCAATTTTGTGTAGTTGTCATTAATATTTCACAGGATAGGACTAAATGCTCTAGTTACTGCATCTTAACAGCGGCTGCTTTCTGTGCTGTAGTAGGAGCCTGGTGTAGCCAAAGCTCAAAGGCTTAAAGTGATGTGTAGCCAACCTATGGCCACTCTGGGGTAGAAGATGCTTTAAAAGAATGTAGCGACTTTTTAGAAAGTGATGCTCAGTAGAATGGGCTTGTGATGTTCGTGAGAAGCTTGTAGTACCTATTCGCTTCCCTTAACTGCTGGTTTTGTTTTGAATGTGCACCTGATTTCAGATAGAAAATATCGAGCTTCCCATGGATACAAAAACAAATGAAAGAAGAGGATTCTGTTTTATCACGTATACAGATGAAGAGCCAGTAAAGAAATTGTTAGAAAGCAGATACCATCAAATAGGTTCTGGGAAGGTAAATGGATTGAATTACATTAAGTGTGCATGTGAAAAGCCTGTTTGAAAAGAAAAGTGATTTTGTGTTCAGAGCTTAGAACATAAGCAAAAATTCTGTTTGTTTTTAGTGTGAAATCAAAGTTGCACAACCCAAAGAGGTATACAGGCAGCAACAGCAACAACAAAAAGGTGGACGAGGTGGGACGGCTGGTGGAAGAGGTGGTGCTAGGGGACGTGGAAGAGGTGAGACTTAATTTGGGGGACACTGATTTTTAAGCTGAGGCAGTTAACTGCTAGGTGCAATTGGCCCATAAGAAAAGGCAGCTAGATTGAATCTTTTATGATGAACCCACATGGTAAAGGCTGTTTTGTGGGGGGGGGGGGGTGTTCTGTTTTAAAGTACAGTGTAGGGGACAGAATGCATCATGTTGTGTTAGCATTGAGAGGGTCCAAAGTGGTTTCCTAACCATCATTGTGCATTGTTTCAGGTCAGGGCCAAAACTGGAACCAAGGATTTAATAACTATTATGATCAAGGATATGGAAATTATAATAGTGCCTATGGTGGTGATCAAAACTATAGTGGCTATGGCGGATATGATTATACTGGGTATAACTATGGGAACTATGGATATGGACAGGGATATGCAGACTACAGCGGTAAGAATACTTAACTTAATTTTATAAACCAGTGGCATTAAATTCAGTTTTGAAGTACTTTCCCATTCTGAAGTTGTTTGTATGAGTTTCCTATTGATAATTGAAGTTGTTACAATTGTGTAGTCATAGGAAAGTAACAGACAGTGATGGCTATTTAAAGTGCAATTATAACTATTGGCTGTTAAGGTGGCTTGATATTTTTAATGTTCAGCATGCATAGTTTAAGGGGCGGTTTTATAGGAAACTTTCTTAGTAAAACATGTATCCTTTCAAACTAGGTCAACAGAGCACTTACGGCAAGGCATCCCGAGGGGGTGGCAATCACCAGAACAATTACCAGCCCTACTGAGGAGGACCTGGGAGAAAGCAGGTGTGTGAGCTTACGAGGAAACATTGGCAATGTCTGATTTCATTTAAAGATCAATAGACAAATGGAAAAGAGTAAACAATATATGTAGTCTTTACTAAATTGTAAATTTGTAATTGCTTTATGAGCCTGTTTTGCCTAAAGTGTCTATAGATCTTTAACTTTAAAGTCTTACCTCACCTTTTTTAGAATTACAGAAAAACTTAAGAGTTTTTCTGTTTGCTTTGTGTACCAGGAGGTTTAAACTTTTTAGAACTATTAACAGGTAAAGTACTGAAATGGGTACAACTTAAGGAAAACAAGAATGTTGTCTTCTAACTCTGACATTATACCTTGTTTGTACCCGCCAGCGGGAACTTCATTGCAGGCCGTGTGTCACCCTGACCACGTCTATCTCTGGGGGTCGCACGTTGCGGGCAGAGCGCAAGGCATACACCAGAAAAGGCTGTCCTGTGGTATGGTCTCTTCCAACTTCATGTACCAGCGTAAAGATTAAAAGTGGAAACTTCAGACTTTGCTTCTTTTTAATCTTTTTGGAGATTAAGTGTCTAAACTTAACTTAAATGGTTTTTTGCAGGAGTTAAAGTACATAAATGCCTTTTTACAGCTTAATCATTTTGGTCTTCTGTTTAGTGTTGTATTTCAATTGTGGAGCCTCATTTTAAGTGTCCATTCTTTAAGATTTAATGCTTGCTTTTTCTTTTTATAGCTAATAGTGAAATCTACAAACCAAAACAAGAACTTTTAAATCTGGGATATAAGTTAAAGATCATATGCACAAAGCAATTCATTGTCATGTTAATACTCTAAACCTGCCTGAAATTTGTATTGGTTGATAGCATTCTACTTGGCTAGCTAGAGCTATGCCTCTAGTTGGCCTTCATCTGCTAGGCTTATAACTGTGGAAAGATTACATTCCTGTATTCTAAAGTGAATCCACCTAATGTCATTTGGGAACTCCACAGTGAGTTTTTCAAACACCCAAACTACACTTTGTCAATAAACATGCATGTGATCTTTAATTGTTGAAGAAAAGAATAAAGTGAGGACTTAATTCATGAAAGTGGACCTTTGCAA